AGGGGCTGGCCGCCCGGGCCGCCGTCCACTGTCACGCTCGGCCCCACCTGCCGGGCAGCCGCGGCGGTGCCGATGCCGCCCTCCTGGCCTACCCTGGCCCCGAGGCACCAGGAAGTGGGGGCTGGGGGCACAGAGGCTCCTGGGAGACGCTGCTGTCCCGAGAGGCCCTCTTGGGCCTGCCGACCACGGCCACTGCAGCCTCCTGTGGCCGCGGCCCGGGTGACACGCAGGCTGGCGACCCGAGGAGACGCTGCACCTGGCCGCAGCCCACACGCAGGCCCAGCAGGCCGGAGGGCAGGGGACGCCTCCCCGCCCAGCCGGGCCTGGGTACCACGGCAGCGGCCCCGTGACGAGGCCACGGCCCACAGCGGTCCGGGACGTCCACGTGGGGGCTGGCAAAGGCCGCCCGGGACAGCGGCCGGGACTCCCCACGCTCAGGGCACGCGCACCCCAGCGCCCACCACGCCCAGAAGCATGCTCCCTGGGGGCGGGCAGGGCTCCCACCAGGCCCGAGGCCTCCGACTCTGAAACAGCCCTGGGCGGGCAGAGGGGTCACGAGGGCAGCGGCCGCAGGGCCACAGGGAGTCCCAGGCTCCTCTCACCTCCTCGCCCGAGGCTGCCCGCATGGCGCCACCCCTGCCGCTCGGAGCTCCCGCTGGCTCCTCCCGCCCCAGCCCTGACTAGCTCCTGGGTCCTTCAGGCTTTGGTGCAGACACCACTTCCTCCAGGAAGCCCCCCGATTGCTCAGGGGCCTGCTCCCTGCTCCCCGCTTCAGCCATCAGCCGAGACCCAGGGCTCTGGGTCAGGTCTGCCCTGGGGCCACCTGCCTCCGCTGGAACTGAGGAGCCCAGCGCCAGGCTGCGGCGGCCACGGCCAGAGGAACTTGAACTGGCGAGCCCTGAGCCCCAGGAGGAAGGCGGAGGGCCGTGGGCAGACAGGGGTCCCCCTAGAGGGCGGGACAGCACGGCCCGGCCTGAGCGTCCACAGGGCCAGGGGACACCCCGGGCACAGCAGCCCGGCGCCCAGCTGCGACGGCAGCTGCGCCAAGCCACGGCCA